GCCATTACTGTCACCTCTATGTCATTTTCATCCTTTGTTTGTCTTTCTATTTCCTCCTCTTCTTCCTACACACTCTCCTCCTTCACCTTCTATCTCCAACAACCACAATCACTATCAGTGTCATCGACATCCTCTACCTACACTTCATCAAGGATAATCAATGTCAATTGTGTGGGCCATTGACAAATTTTTGCATCACCATCAAGCCACCTCCTCCTCCTTCTCCTTTTTTCTTCTTTTCACCCATTTCTCATTAATATTAGAAAAAAAAACTCATTAAATTAGGCAAGAAATTTATTATCCAAAGAACCCACAAATTTATCATTGGAATGAGATCGTTGTCAAGTGTTTCAATTTAGATTTTTATTTTATTTCTTTATTCAATTTTGTTTTGTAGTTATTCTTCTATCTTATAGAAGGAATAAATCTTAGTTCTTATATTTTAGGAATCACATCCTAATCATGTAAATGTCACCTAGAGTTAGAGCTGTCAAAACGGATAACCCGACTCGACTTGGTCTGATTCACCACGCGTTGGTCACTTAGTGAGTCAACCCAACCCGGCTCACTTATTAGCGAGCTGAAAAAATTCGAACCCGGTCCGACCCACTACGAGTTGGTGGGTTAAACAGGTTGACTCACTAGCTCATTTAATTATAATTTTTTTTAAATAAAAAAGATTATATTTTTTTAATTCAAATCTAAATAAATTTCATTCTAAAATGATGTTAAACTCCAAAGACAATTCAAAATAAAAAAAAAATATCATGCAATTCAAGCGTAATCAAAGACAACCACAAAAGACGAACAAATAAATTTTTAATATTGATAATTTTTGTATCACTTATCCATTTATAAGATTAGAGTTTTGAATGGATAAATCCATAATATTTGTCCCTCTTGAAATATATTTTTCTTTATCGACATCTACAATGTAATAAAAAAATGTTAACTAATAATATTGAAACACAAAATATTAAATAATTAAATTAAATTAGGTGGGTTTGTGAGCCAACCCGGCTCACCACGAGTTCAAATCAAGTGAATCAGACTCCAAGTGAGTCCGCTTGAAAACTAATCTACATAAAAAAAATAACATTTTTTTTAAATCCAATCCGATTCAAACCTGTAGTGAGCCAAATTGACTCACTGATCACAGCCCATTTTGACAGCACTACCTAAACTAGTTTATTTTTGTAAAACAGCCTATTGTTTTTCATTGTAAAACAACATAATTGTATTCAATTTTCTCTCTTCTGTTAACTTTTCTCTAATTATCTATAAAATATTTCAAAATAGTTAATAATTATAATAATAAAATATCGACATAAATATTTATGATAATAAGAATTGTAGTTTACTAATAAATTTTGTCATAAATAATTATGATGATAAAATATTAATAAAAGTATTTGTCAATAATAATAATTATAATTTGTTGACAAATTTATATTAAAAAAATAATTTGTCGATAAAATAAAATTAAAATGTAAAGTCTATTTATAATTATTTATTGATAAATTAAAATTAAAATGTAAAATCTATTGGTCAATAATATTTCGTCGATAATTAATAAAAAATTTGTAGTGTTATAATATTTTGTTTTCCAGTACATCGAACCTAATTATGTTATGCTGAGTTTCCATACATGTAAGCAAAATTAGAAAACTGAACGGAATGAAAATTGGCTTAAAGTCTCTTAAACTTTAAATCAGACCATATTTCATCTAGAAATTTATATTTAAAGAGTTAAAAATGTAATTAATTCATAAATCAAATAACCTAACCGAACATAAACAAAAGTAATGTTAAGTCCTATCATACCAGACTGGTTTCCTTTGTCAAACAAACACTTATCTTCACTGATTGAGACGCACATTTGTCACTCATTTCTTCTCAATCAAAAGCATTATTAAGTCCACCAAAAATCAATAGTAGCATCCAAAATAAACACAATTATGCCATAAAAATCCATCTCCAATAAATATACATGGAGGGGTAAAAAACCAAACCATCATTAAAAACTGTATATAAAAAATATATTTTATTAATTAAGTGTTAAATTATAATTTTACGTAATTATGATTATGTGTATTAAATTTTATTCATCTTAGCTATCTATTGATTTATATGTATTGAGGTTGAGTAAATACTTACGTAACCCATGTTGGGAGAGGGGAGATAGATCTCTCTTTTTGTGTTGATGCTTATATTCTTCCTTATAACTAATTATTATAGGACTAAATTTCATTACTTTGCTACCTAGTACACTCAAAAGCAACCTTATCCATCTAATTATTGTACTTATGTCTCTAATAATGCCAAACAAATAGAATTTATAATTTCACAATGGAACAATGATTCAAATATAAATAAAAATATTGGGTTAAATATGTTTTTAGTCCCTAAACTATCAAGCGAATTTGTTTTTAGTCCCTCTTTCAAAGTAAAGTAAATTTTAGTCCTCCTCCTTCAAAAAAAACTTAATTTTTGGTCCTCCCGGGAGGATAAAAAATTAACGTTTTTTTTAAATAGAAGGACTAAAATGTACCTTACTTTGAAAGATGGACTAAAAACAAATTCGCTTGATAGTTCAGGGACTACAAAAACATTTAATTTTACACAATTGTAAGAACGCATTAATTAAATTCATTTGGTTTTTTATTTCGTATGAAAAAATTTCTTTTTTAAACAACTCTTAATCATATATATTAAAAATAGGATTTACATAATCTAAAGTTGGATGGGTTAAAATAATAAAAAATAGATTTTATCTTATATTCTTAGTCAAACTTATTATTTTTTACTTTCAAATCAAGAAAAAAATTATAACTTCTAAAAATATGTAACTTTTTTACTATATCCCAAAACTCTATTAGCGAAAGAATTATACATTAAAGAGTCAAACCAGATATTGAAAGAAGTTAGAGAACTTCTTTTTCCTATATAAAAAATATAAAAATTAAAATTAAAATTAACGAAACATATAAAAAAAAAAAGAGCACTTTTTCTAAAACAATTTATATTTCAATTCATAAAACTCTTTTTTCTTACATTAGAATCCCGGAGAAACCATCCTCATTTTCTTTTCAGGTTTTCTCTCCTGCAAACTAGCCATGACAGTAAACTATATTCTTTATTTATTTGTAGATTTTTTTTTTATCGAATTGAACACATTATAGATATTTTTCTTCATAGTAATTTAAATTATATAAATAATTTTCAAATTTAAGTAAAATTATACAGAAATATTGTCGTTAACTAGAGGGAGATAAACACAATTTAGATAACATATTTTCTTTTCTTTTCCTTTTTTTTTAAAGATATCATAGCGTTCACTGTATGTACAATATTGTCATGAAACATATTTAACTTGTTCTTGATGTGATGCTACATGGTTTTTTGTTTGGGGCGTGATACTTGTGCTTACTACTGCTACAATTTGTCCTGTTGCAAGTGTAAATTAAGAAGATTCCAGCTTCATACCAATGAAGCAGTTTGGCAAACCTACATTATTGTATGTGTGGGCCGGTGACCGGTGCATACCCATTATAATAATAACATTGTTTGGATATGAAAAAACCTGATCGGTCATTAGTAGTAGAGTAGAGTTAACTAAACATTTATTTAATCTAAATATACTAATAGTCAAGTTTAAAAGAAATCGACCCGATTGTAATGAAAATCTCATAAAAGAAACTATAAATACAAATTAAATGTATAATTGTTGAAACTTTTTATTATAATATTAACAGTTTTATCTATTGAACTTGAACTAACTTCAATATTAAAATACTATTTAGATATTATGACAGGTTAATGTACAAATTATTATAACATGAAGAATACTACAGTGAGCACGCGATAAAGAAATTGTTTTAAGTAACTTTCAACTCTACATCCAAAATATTTTTAAAAAATTATCGTTACATTTATCATTTTTGTTGTTGTCATACATTATCATCATGATAGGAATGTAGAAAATGTAAAGTTGGTTTTAATGCATTCATCATATAAAATTGTTTCATTGTCTAATTTGGTATTGATGTGATGTACATTGTTTTGTATACGACACCACATGTGCTCACTACTGTAAATGTGCATATTCAATTGAGAGTCTTCAGGAGGCTACGGCTTCTTCAATCTCTATTTTTGAGTAAAAAACATTACTATTCGAATAGTTAGACGAACCCCACGTACACAGTGATCTCAGCAGCCCAATTCAATCACAGAAGAAGGTGAAGAACTATTAAGTGTGCCCACTTTCTTCCTGCATCCTATCAAATTTCTTCCTGCACCCCATAACAGAAATATAAACATCCGGAAATTTTGATCTGGAACAGTGTTTGGTGGTTTTTTCGAAAGATATTTCCGGAATTTAATAGAGTGCAAGAATAAATTCACAATGGGGTGGAGGAAGAAATGTAATAGGGTACAGGAAGAAACAGCCATTGAGTGTTAACTTTAATTTTAATGTTTTTCATGAGTTTAATGTGAACCTATTAGCAATATAAATTACTTTACATAACTCTTAATATAGATGTTATATAGAAGAAGTTTGCTAGGTTTATAGTAACTATCTTGGAAGTCATCTAAAACTGTTTTTATTTACTTGATCACGTAAAAAAAAAAAGTACACTAACATTAAACTCTCTGTTTTTACGTCTCTCTCCATTTCCCTCTTATCTGATATTTGTCTTATGTATCCAATAGGAAAGTAAAATTATCTTTATCTTTACATTCATAGTAAGGAAAATTTAACCTTTTACTTTCAGCCAGAAATACTTCAAGTTCAGTTCATCCAAAAATTATTGTCTTCTTAATAAGATGATGTTATATAGTCCAAGCTTAGATAGAGAGAAAACGGGTACATGGAGTCCACACCAGTTTTGGACCATTATATTTGTGCAGGGTCACATTAACAGTGTTAACATGCAATATCAATATAAATTTGCATGGTTTCCACCTATTTACGCATAGAAAAAAGGTGGGATTACAAGTTACAGGCCCAAACCTTCCTGAAATACAAATAACATTGTGATGAAAAACGTTTCAGTAAGATAGATTATGGCACATTAACGCCGAGACTGTTGAACAAATGCCACAGTGCTTACCGGTTACAACAATCAAAGACTTTGGTCAGACAAAATGAGGAAGTTTCAAATGGTTCCTACAACATCCATGTATGCTTATATCTCGGACAATGAAGTAGTCACAACAAGGGTGTACCATCCCAACTCTTGCTTTCATCACATTCTATTATATTCTATTCACTCTAATCCTCAACATGCTTGTAATATGATCATTACATCAGTGACAGTGAGCAAAGGAGTGCTACGCATTAGAACTGTAGCTGTTAGCACTATTGCTTATTGGATGATGGACTATGTCTATGGCTATGGTTAAGCTAACCTAAGAGCTTCGTCAATCTCTGCATGCAGCATTATTTCACTGTTCCCGAGTGTGCTTTCTTTTGAAGACACCCCACAAATAATATTTAGCTTCAAATCCTGCCCAAAAGACAAACGAGTTAAAATGTAATCTCAAGTTAAACAGATAAAGCTATACTGAAATGAACCCCTGAAGTGGTAGAATAAACGAAGCTCACTCCAACAAGAGATTGGGAGGTCGGTGGAAGGAAAAATTAAAAGCTCTGCATTTTTAGCCACAAATCTTATGGCATATTCATGGCAAATGACATCATCAACCAGAGCGTCGAAGACCTTCTCAGCTCTGCCAAGTAAGAAATATTCAGGTACATCAAACTAAAGAAAAAAATAGTAACATTATGCAAAAAGTGTCTGAGAAAAATCACCCTTCACTGTCGGGAAAGAAAAAAAGAGCAATGTCCTGATCAGTTGGCTCCCTACTCTTGAAACTTTCGGGCCACACAGTAGACCTTGGAACCAATTCTGCATGAAGCACTTCTGGGAAATGTCCTGTCTCCTCTACAACTTTGGAGCATGCTAAATCGGACATATGAGCAAGAAGTCCACTTACAGCACCAATAGTTTCATTGCAGAGATATATACTTCCCCTATTAACCAGAAAATTCAACTTCAAATGATATCCACCACAACAGCTATAGAAGTTCACCAATTTCAAATGAAGGTAGTAAAACAGCTTTTGTACCTCCAGATCGGATCAATTAAAGGCTGTGCATGAACACAACCGTATAATTCTATACAACTTGAATCATTACAGGTAGCTCCTTCAGCAAATGGAACAGATTGGAGACCTAAATCAGAATTAGTTACATCCCTTGGAGCTGCTTCACACTCATTCGTTACCTCACGTTCTTCCTCACTGCTGATAATGTGTTGAGGATGCTGAAGGTCATGTGAACTGGATAGTACACCCTTTGTTTCATCAACGAAGGCAGAGTTGACTTTTCCTTTCTCATGTTCCTTTTTATTCTTCTTTTTTAGCAGTTTATTGCGTTTCTTCACTCTCTCTTCGCAATTTGTAAATACTCTTGTGGTTTGGATTGCATTCTTTTCCAAATTTTTGTAGTTTCTTGTTACAGATGAGAGAGGTGTAGATTGGTCGAGAGAAGGTGGTAACATTAGCCTTTTTACACAATCATCACAAAACCATTTAACAGGACCGGTGAAAATCACAGGTCCCTTTAAACAGTACCTGATAAAAAAGAAAAACTAAGAAATCAAATGTCAACTAAGGAGTTAAAGAACATGAAATCGCCACTTTACAAATTGCAGTTTTTCTATTATTATAAAACATTGGGAGAAAAATAGATCCAATTAAAAAGGGAATTATTCAATGATGTTGGATATCTCTTCAATAATCCTTCGGTTTATCCAAACCAGCTATAATGGGAACACTCCCTGGTCACACCTTCAATACCAATATAAATTTCAAGATTGTGTATGGCAGTAAAAAAGAGAGGCACTATCAGCTATGTACTAATGTTAAAAGCTGACTAAGAAAGTAAATCATAATCTTAAAAGCACTTACATTGATATCCAAAAGAACATATATGCTTTACAGAGACGTGATGGATAAAAAAATCACTACACACTATAAAAGTGATCAGGGTATCAATACTAAGGAGTGAGTATCATTCCAATTATTTTTTTGGATTTTCAAGCTATAGAAAGTAAAGTCTTACATCCTTTGTTTTTACTCCAGAAGTTCTACAGAATGTTCAAGCAGCATAAAGTAGTAGTGGCATTTCAGCTAAGTATGATAAAAATAATTGCTATAAGTGCATCCAAGAAGGCAGAAAGAGGGCACAGACAATAAGTACCTATGTAGCGCATAAGCCTGACACCCAGAGCAAAAAACCAATGCAACTTCAAAGCCTTTATCGCCACACTTGAGACAAACAGTTTCCTACAACAATGGTTAAAGATTTAACTGAAATGGTTCACAATATCACAAGTGCAATTCCAATCACGCCCTCTTCCATAAAGTATTATAACAGATACATGCATGCAAAAGCCAAAACATATATTATGCTTATCTTCTGAGTCATGTATCTATGGGTTGATGTAAAGAATAATTCCAAAACACTAACAACACTTGCCCCTTTTCAACTCATGGTCCAATATTAGCTAGAGATCACAATAGCATCATTTGCATTGCCTGTTCCACAAACCAACAACAGTAGAGATCACAATAGCATCATTTACATTGCCTGTTCCACAAACCAACAACAGGAATCTCCAAAATGGTAACCAAATCAAAAATTCCCAGACTATAATCATAACTATTCTACAGAACCAGAATGCTATGACCTTGGAATTGCCATTTATAACACATTACTCTTACCAACCAAATTAACAGCACAATGAAACAAACAACGTCTCAGCGGAAGAAATTAGATCACCGAAAACAAAAACCACTTACCTCGCACCTTCAAAGACAGAGACCCACTAAACAAACACCATAAATTTTCAATTTTTATTCATAAGGGTAAAGTTTTTTATAGCCCGCAGAACAGAAAACCTTACTCCATCATCGTATGGAAAAGGGAAAGAAAAAAACTGACCATTTTGATGACAATAAGTTGAAGTTGGAGCAGCGCAAAGGGTTATAATGGGTTGTGGAAGAAGGATTGTTGATGTGAGAAGTGTTGTTCTGATGTGAGAGGGAAGTGTAGCTGAAAATAAATCATAATTGTTGGTAGAAACGGAAAAGAAACGCACTCGTTTGGATTCCTCTTAACATGCACGACATTTTCGTTTTGGGAACCTTTTTTTGACTCCCCTCTTCTCACACTTCTAAATAACATCTGTAGAATAAATTAGCACATTATCATAAAATTAAATTAAAATAAGCAATATATTAAATATATTAATTTTAAACTCAATGTAACATAACTCGAGTTCAAATATTAATTTGCTAAATACTTTTGGATTAATTTTCACCACCTATAATATTAATTTGTGACTTAAACATTTTTATCTCTTCCCTGGAAGATACAGAATTAATGTAGAAAAACAAATGAATACGAGTTTAACAATAATATAATGAAAAATCACTTTTCTATTAATATAAGGGTTAAATATGTTTTTAGTCCCTAAACTATTGACTGTTTCTGGTTTTTAGTCCTCAAAACGTTCGTTTTTTCGACTAAAACGAACGTTTTTTAAAGATTGAGGACTAAATTGTACCTTACTTTGAAAGAGGGACGAAAATCAGAAACAGTCAATAGTTTAGGGACTAAAAACATATTTAACCCTTAATATAAGGTATAAAATATTAATAACTATAATTACATATCATTTTAGAAGAGATATCAGTCATCATGTTTTAATTTGAAATATAATAACATGGATTTTAAACTCTTGTTTTCAGAATGAAATTTAAGTGGTTTATATTTTTGTTAGAGATTAGTTTTCATAAGCTAAATATTTAAACACTATTAATCAAACAAAAATATGCTAAAATTAATTTTCTAAATATTTATTGTAAGAGTAAATAATATCATGTGTTATCAATAAAGAGTGAACAACTTTCTGAAATCTAATTTGTAATAAGTTTTTCTCATAAAAAAGTTTGAGCGAATTTTCTTAATCTTACATGTTCATTAATTGTTATATTTTTCTAATATATTTAACTATTTAGTTAATATATTTATTTTTATTAGATTATTTAAGAAAGAAATATTAATAAAAAAAAAAAATATATATATATATAAGTATTATTTTTAAATTTTAAACTGTATTGTATGGTTGTCTGGTCAGTTATTGACCGAGTGATCTAGGACAACATCACACTAGAACTCAAATCAACTAATTGTTCGACCAAACGTTAAAGATGACTATAGTCATAAATATTTACAAATAAATTATATTTATTAACTATTGAATCATGATTAAGTTTATATTAATCATAACATTATTTTGAAACCTATAAATATAAATATGAAGTAAAAAATAAATGATTATATTTATTATGAATTTAAAATTTTATTATATGAATTATTTTTCATATATACACTCACATAATGTTAGACGGTGTTAGAAGACTTAGAAAAAAATGTAAATGAATATTTTGATTCTAACCTTTAACTCTACGCCCAAAAATCAATTAATTAAATGATAAGAATGAAATTGATAGAGGTGAGATTCTCCGATAGATCTTCAAATTACTTTGACTTACTGATAACAAATACGATAAACATGTTTATCTTTAAACTATAAATTTGTATGCAGAGACGTAATTTTACCGTATATAATACTGTGATGATGTTTAATTAAAAAAATGTATTTAATATTGATATTGCATCCGGATGTACCACAAGTTAGTGAGATTAAAATTATAACAATTTACATATTAAACCAATTTTTATTACATCAAACAATTGAAGAAAAACATACATGTTTTATTTTATTTTTCTAGTAAAAAATCTATATTGTGTGGTTTATTTTAAAATAATTATTTGCATGATTGAAAAGATGAGGTTTAATATAGGAGAAAGTTAGCTCATCCAATATTAAATTATAGTTCTGGTTCTTGATTTTAACTATGACTTTCTCCCTTTTCACTGTGTTAGACACGTGATTTTTCACTCTGCTTGCCATGCATTTACTCGAGAGATTTCCTGAATAAATTTCTGAATATTCAGTGATGTCTTAGGAACATTTAATATCATTTAAAAAGTGAATGAATAGATAAATTATTATCCTATCACCTATATTTTTTTACAGGCTTATGGGTTAACAGTTTTAATTTTAATATGAATTTTTATTTTATTTAATTATATTTATTAGTATTCATTCTTTTTTCTTATAAATACTATACAACAAAAACAATAGAGTAATAAAAGTGTTATTCAGTTTTCCATTCTACATTATCTTTTAAAAGTAAGAAAGTTTTTTCTTTAAAGACAAAATTATGCATATTTCACTCCAAACTCTTTCTAGTATTTTTTATTTATTTACAATCTTATTTTATATTTTTATTTTTTGTTATAAGTATTATTATTATTATTTTTTTAATTTCCATCTCTAGTTTATGATTAGTATTATTATTATTTGATTATGATGAATACTATAAATTAGCTCAATACCTTGAGCCGTATATGAAGCTTTTAATACATATTTAAAATCGATTGAATTCATATATTAAGATTTGTGACATATTTGACTGTGCTTAGTGTTGTACATTTAAAGGTAGAGTTGATTATGGGTTTTTTAAATTGACTATGTTAACATTGATTAATTATAAAAAAAATGACACTCTTATTATAGAAATTAATAAAATTAGATAATCTATAACTAAGCAAGAATGTAAAAACTGTTTAACTATCCAATATGATTATTATTTTTATTATAGACAAAGCTTGCTACTAATTCTTTTGGATTTAATTGAAATACACTCGTAATCTAAATGTTTTTTACATTATTATCTAATCAGGAATGCTAAGAACCTTATTTGCTAATTTTATGATTACTCCAACCAAATTTCAAACAATAAAATTGGATCTCTAATTTCTTCATTTATTCCACATCATTGGATACCCAAATTCTGACATAGGTTCTTCGTACCAAGAAAAGAGAACCTATCATTTTTTTCTAGAGCTATCAACTTTTGACAAGTTATTATCCAGTCATGTGAAGGTCAGACTAAAAGCATATCCAATGGTATATTATTAAAAAGAAACTATTGTCAATAAAAATATTATTTTAATTTGAATTTTATCAATATATTTTCTTAACATTGAAGAGAGTAATCTATAGAATAGTTAACTCTTTTAAATTTAAATAGCAGGATCAACAATAAAATAAATATCACTGTTCTTTTATTTTAATTTTTTAATGTTTTGATAAATTTCTACATGAACATATTATTTTATTTTAGTTTTTTTAGTAATTTGACATATGAACTTTTTAAATTTCATGTAAATATTTTTTTTAAGTTGAAATATTTTTTAATGATTTGATTAATAAATTAAAATTAAAATTTATGATTTGTTTTTCTTTTTAAAGTCTTTTCAACTTTTCATGTTTTATACATAATTTGAATATTAAAATTTATATGTGATTATTTTTATTATATAAATATGGATATTTTGAAAAGAAAAAGTTATATGATAATATTATAATATTTAAATTTTAATTTATTAATAAAATTATTAAAAAAGATCTTAACTGAAATAAAATAAATAAATTGCAATGTAAAAAGTTGAGAAGAGTGAAGTGGCAAATATTAAATACGAGTCTGCGACTTCACTTTTTTTTTTCAATCAAAATCGTGAATACAACTTAATCATTTGTATAATATTTAAATGAGAAATGATACTTTGTACTTAATGCGATGTTATCTGGGACGATTTTAAATTAAATCAAGCTTATATTTATACAAGAAAGTAATATAATAATTTAGATAGATCCAATGGACTAATATTAGAAATTTATGAAATTTTATGTTTGGGATCGATGGATGTTAATATATTTGTGTTGGGTATAACTTGAAATTTTAATTCAAGAGTCTCTGTAATATTTTCCTTGGGCGAGAAGAGGGTTTTGTGGGCGAAAGTTCAATAAAATTATTGTGCTTAGTGTCTTTTAAATATTTTAAATTTTTTAAAACTTATATCTCTTATTATCTATATATAATTGAAATATTATGTTAATGTAATAGAAAATAAATGATAAATTATTAATATTTAAATTAAAATAAATAATAAGTGAATTATTATGTGGCATTAGAAATGTAGTAATTCCAAGAAGGAAAGTGATGATACTTTTCTACTTCTCTGTCAAAACTGTTAAAAATTACGACATCAACATTTCTATCGGCATATAATCTTCCATTTTTTATATTATATTATCGACTCACTATGTCTCTATAAATATCTTAAAACGTTGATCAACATCGAAGATGAAGACAATAGTAACGATGGAAGTACCAACTTGACACAGCTTACCCACTCTAGAATTTCTTTTAAAAAGTACACCATTTTTGTAATTTCATAATGAAATTACACTACATTAATAAAAACACTCTAGTTTAGTTATCGACTATCTCATTCTTAGGTAAACATAACATCTAGAAATGCATCTAACTTTTGGTCCAATCTGTTCACTTAAACTATATAACTCTATANCAGGAATGCTAAGAACCTTATTTGCTAATTTTATGATTACTCCAACCAAATTTCAAACAATAAAATTGGATCTCTAATTTCTTCATTTATTCCACATCATTGGATACCCAAATTCTGACATAGGTTCTTCGTACCAAGAAAAGAGAACCTATCATTTTTTTCTAGAGCTATCAACTTTTGACAAGTTATTATCCAGTCATGTGAAGGTCAGACTAAAAGCATATCCAATGGTATATTATTAAAAAGAAACTATTGTCAATAAAAATATTATTTTAATTTGAATTTTATCAATATATTTTCTTAACATTGAAGAGAGTAATCTATAGAATAGTTAACTCTTTTAAATTTAAATAGCAGGATCAACAATAAAATAAATATCACTGTTCTTTTATTTTAATTTTTTAATGTTTTGATAAATTTCTACATGAACATATTATTTTATTTTAGTTTTTTTAGTAATTTGACATATGAACTTTTTAAATTTCATGTAAATATTTTTTTTAAGTTGAAATATTTTTTAATGATTTGATTAATAAATTAAAATTAAAATTTATGATTTGTTTTTCTTTTTAAAGTCTTTTCAACTTTTCATGTTTTATACATAATTTGAATATTAAAATTTATATGTGATTATTTTTATTATATAAATATGGATATTTTGAAAAGAAAAAGTTATATGATAATATTATAATATTTAAATTTTAATTTATTAATAAAATTATTAAAAAAGATCTTAACTGAAATAAAATAAATAAATTGCAATGTAAAAAGTTGAGAAGAGTGAAGTGGCAAATATTAAATACGAGTCTGCGACTTCACTTTTTTTTTTCAATCAAAATCGTGAATACAACTTAATCATTTGTATAATATTTAAATGAGAAATGATACTTTGTACTTAATGCGATGTTATCTGGGACGATTTTAAATTAAATCAAGCTTATATTTATACAAGAAAGTAATATAATAATTTAGATAGATCCAATGGACTAATATTAGAAATTTATGAAATTTTATGTTTGGGATCGATGGATGTTAATATATTTGTGTTGGGTATAACTTGAAATTTTAATTCAAGAGTCTCTGTAATATTTTCCTTGGGCGAGAAGAGGGTTTTGTGGGCGAAAGTTCAATAAAATTATTGTGCTTAGTGTCTTTTAAATATTTTAAATTTTTTAAAACTTATATCTCTTATTATCTATATATAATTGAAATATTATGTTAATGTAATAGAAAATAAATGATAAATTATTAATATTTAAATTAAAATAAATAATAAGTGAATTATTATGTGGCATTAGAAATGTAGTAATTCCAAGAAGGAAAGTGATGATACTTTTCTACTTCTCTGTCAAAACTGTTAAAAATTACGACATCAACATTTCTATCGGCATATAATCTTCCATTTTTTATATTATATTATCGACTCACTATGTCTCTATAAATATCTTAAAACGTTGATCAACATCGAAGATGAAGACAATAGTAACGATGGAAGTACCAACTTGACACAGCTTACCCACTCTAGAATTTCTTTTAAAAAGTACACCATTTTTGTAATTTCATAATGAAATTACACTACATTAATAAAAACACTCTAGTTTAGTTATCGACTATCTCATTCTTAGGTAAACATAACATCTAGAAATGCATCTAACTTTTGGTCCAATCTGTTCACTTAAACTATATAACTCTACAAGTTTACCACGCTTCTATTATATCAAGTAAAAAGTAGTAGAAAATTATTGTAAAACAAATGAAATACAAAAAATGCACATCATATTACCAGGAGTTCGGTCTTCATGCATGTTTAAATAGATTTGAGTTAGTCCTTAATTCCTGATCAAAGAACAAACTGTGTTATACAAAACAAGACTGATTTTGAAGTATTTGTATTCTAAACCACTTTAAAGAAAAAATACTAACAAGAAAAATCACGTTGTGCAACTCAAATTACATTCTAAAACTAATTGTAAACAAAACGTATTAACCTTTCCGTAAGGAAGGGACGAGTACACAAATTTTTATTATGTGCAGAATGAAAAGGCATAAACATACACTCAACAAATTTTTATTATGTATTCACTAAAGCTTAGTCATGTTAGTATTTCCTTCTCCATGAAGTCCACTTGAGTTTGAGATGGTACCACAAAGGTGGTATTCCCAGCACCCCTCCTGTTAGTCTTGGATCAAACACATCAAATTGGACCTTTCTTAAGGAATCCAAAAGAACCTGAGAAGGCACTGCTGGAAGGAGCACTGGAAGAGCATCAGCAGGCAAACTTGCAGCTAACTTCCGAGCCTTTTCTAAGTGTGCATTGGCTACTGATGCCATGTCATAAACAGCATCACAAAGGCCCTCGCGAGAATCCACCCACCTCTCTTCCCCATCTCCTTGCTTAACTATTAGCCCATGCTTGGATGCTATTGCAGTTGGGATATAAGAAAAATGTCGGTTGTGAGATGCGTGGTATGGCAGTGATTTGAGGAGCAAGAGAATGCCACTGGCCTTGCCGATATGTGAGGCTGCATGATCAGCTGCAGCAGACGTTATACCACCTGCTTGAAGTGTCAGGTACAGCATAGTTGATACAGTGTCCTCTGCGTATTTCTCCAACTCTCCAATACTTTCTGGCATGTCAGTAACCTCTCTTTTTGCATCATTGATCCGAGCCTCAACGGATCGTTTCAACCATATCTTGCTAAGTTTGGTCTCAGCTATCACAGATGACAGGGCCTGTGCTGTTGGATGTTCAATCAATTTATTGGCGAACATTTTGTCTATGGCTTCCTGCCACCAGACAAGACGCATAAGGCCAATCCTGGGATCTGAAGCAATATCCATAGCTCTAGCTGTTTCAACATTCAAGGCACGGAGAGCAAATGCAGCCTTCCGCATGGATGGAGGCAGCTCCAGAAGGCAAAGATAGTGATGATAATCATAACTTCGCACTTGCTGTACGCAATGGGAGAAAGCTGCCCTTAAGTTACTAGACGCCGAACCACCGTTCATGGCCTACAGATGAAAGTTGCATCTATCACAAATGTTAGTACGTAGAAACAGATGCGTAACAAAGTATATGTTAAAAGTTAGTTGAGGATAGGCCTTTGACTCTATGTCCCTAGAAATTATAACAAGTACTTTAATACTGCAGATACGTGAAGAGTGAATAGCTAATTCTGATCTCTGAAACTAAAAAGGTGCAGAATATTTTGTCAAAGTATTTTTGTATATAAATACTTACATAATGATTTAAATTAGATGGTACACAGATTTAAACTTATGATTACTAATTACATAATAATTTTTCTAATAGTATACTTCACTTCCCAAAAAAACAGCCCCAGATGAATATGAGATCAGTTAACACAAAATAAACCATACAGGTGAAATGCAGTCAGTTGGTACAAAATAAATAACTGCAAAAATGCACCCAACTGAGCAATCCTCCGTCGGTATGTATGTCACTGATGAAGCAATAAATATGAAATGAGTATACTACATCCAGGTCATTTACACGAACATAAAAAAAGAAGAAAGTCAAGATAAACAACAGTATATAAAATATTCCAACCCTGTGCATCTAACACTACTCTTCCATTGCGGTTGAGTATCCCATATTAAGATATATCATAATTACTAGAAATACAGTAAAAAAAACACTCTTTGTAAGTCTTGGAGAATGCTCCCACATTTTTTGGGCTTAAGTCCAATTCATTTCTAATATGATTTTAGAGTCTATCTAGCTTAAATGTTGGGCCAATGGAAGATATATAATCTTGGCATGGCAAGAATATTTTAAGATGTCCTGCAACGGCTAGAAATATAACCACAACAATACATTTTATAAAACTATGACAATCCTACCTGATACCTATCGCCGAACCATATTTTAGCTTTAAAGATTGGTTTACTAATGGAGATGCTCCAAGTGAGACTCTTTCGTACCACGCTGCGTTTCCAACCGTAAGCGCGGTGACAAACGGTGGCTTTGGCCGGAGTTAGAGCGGACAGCAGCGGCGATGCGCGGTGGTGGCAGTGCGTGGCACGGCGGCGATGGACCTGGCTTGGATGCTCCCTTGCGCGAAAGAGGAAGAGTAGAGGCACTGCCCCTCCCTTGCACGTGCTAGAGAAGAAGAAGATGGAGCGGAAGACCCCAAACGTGATAACCCCAGTGGCGAAGGCAGCGATCCCGGCGACGGCAGCCTGGATCAACGGAAATGGAGGCTCGTCAAAGGGATCTGTAGCTGCGGTGGTCTGAGCTGAAACGGGGGAAGTGGGGGAAAGATGGGGCTGCCCTCACGGGAGAGAAATGAAGATGAAGAACTTTGAGGTTTTGAAAACAGAGGAAAAGTGGGGTTTTGGGTTTGGGAAGGAGAACAGAAAATTAGGCCTGGGAAAGTTTTACTCCTAGCACCCCCTATTCTTAACGATGCAATCCCTATGCTAATTATAATAATGGTTTGTTTCATTATAGGAAAGCTGGTTTAATTATAATATTTGCAAAACTATTTTTAGTAACATTTAAAATACATAAATTATTTATTGTTGAGTATTTGGATTTATTGAGTTAACAGTAAAAGTAAGAGAAATTAACTTCGGTTTAAAAAATATTTATTTTAAATAATATTATGAAAATTGTTTTACAGATATTTAACAAAAATTTAATAATTGGTATCTATATAAAATAATAATTGGTATTTAGTAGAGATTTGAATAATACAACCGTCATAACGCCACTTTCGTGTTCATATAGAAAATGAAATTTGATGGTGAGAATTGAGGGAAGTTTTTCATTTATGGAATTGATACAAAATAATATCGTGACTTAAAAAACAAAAAGAAATTTATCTGTCATGGTGATTTTTGGATAAGAATGGTGGTTATGATACGAAGGGAATGTCCTTGTTGATGTTAACTTTAATATAAAGTAAATTTATGAGATAGGTATGACATAAGAATTTTAGTCAATGCATATAGTATTTTGAAAATTGAGTCTAAATTATGTTAAAGATTTAACAAAATGATTTTGTCTCTACGAATGATTTAATGTGACGCAGTAAATTATGAATGAATTTGGATTTGAATAAGATATTTCTTAATGTTACGTGATGATTCAATGTAATTGATATAAATTGATGTTTTGAATCTTTAACGAGTTGATGTATTTAGTATTTTTGGATATATATATATATATATATATATATATATATATGTGTGTGTGTTTTTGTTTGTTGGAGTAGATCATAGTAATTTGATTACTAGTAGTGAGATGTAAACATTCATATATCAGAGTATTAATCAGTTTTTCCTAGCCAAGAAGAAATTTTTTTATTTTGGAAAAAATTTCCCCATTTCTTTAAATTTGAATAGAAACGTCCCATAAAAAAAAATAAAACCTAGTAAATATGGCGTTGCCAAGTTAGTTTGTTGTGAGTTAGTGAGAAAACCTTAGAATCTGGTTTCCGTGGTGATAAAGAGTTTGAAACAAGTATAGTTTTGGGGAAATTTGAGTTGATTTGATTTGAGAGTGTAAACAAGAAAAGAAGGGGTTTTCCTTCTGGCTCAGATTCCTGAAGTCGATGTTTTCTGAGAAATGAAGAATCCGTTGAAAATCCTAGTAAAAGTGGCTTCTGGGGGTGAAATAAGGAGGCTCATCTGTGCCGAGGCAATCTCCAAGAACATGGTGTGTTTGAGGAGAAATAGGCCTAATTCTGAGCCTTGGTTTAACGGGAGGCAAAACAGGAAGCGGTGCTTCCTTGTTAAGGATTCTTGCTGCTTCTCTTACTGTTGGCCTCTTCTCATGATCAGGATGCACACATAGAAGCCCCACCAATAGCATCCTTTCCATATCTACTGCATCAAATTTCCCCATCAATCTTGGATCAGCACCCTCAATCAGTTTCCCCTTTTCCCACAAGCTCCACACATAGTCTACCACCACACTGCCATCATCTTCCACAGGCTTCCTCCCACTTCCCACTTCCAACACCACCACCCCAAAGCTGTACACATCACTCTTCACAGTAGGAACACCAGAATAAACATACTCAGGAGCAAGATACCCCATTGTCCCTGCTGGTATTGTAGCCTCCCTCCTGCTACAACTGTGCTCATACACTTCCGCAAGCCCAAAATCACCAAGCTTTGCATTGAAATCTGCATCCAGCATTATGTTGCAGCTCTTCACATCCCTGTGAATGATCTGCCTCTCACACTCTTCATGAAGATAGGTCAGAGCAGCAGCAACCCCAAGAACGATATTCTCCCTTTGCCTCCACGAAAGAACAATGGAAGAATTGAAGTTCCTGTGCAGAACCTTATTCAGGCTCCCATTGGGAAGAAACTCGTAAACCAGGACCAACTCTTTTCCCTCACAGCACCACCCCTTAAGCTGAACCAAATTCTTGTGCCGCAGGCAACCCACCATGGTGGCAAACTCGGTGGCAAAAGGGTTGTGCAAACAATTCAAATCCTTTTGCCTCTGAAATCTCTTCACTGCCACATCCCCTCCGAAGGGAAGATACCCTTTATAAACCTTGGCAGAGGCACCCTCCCCAACAAGCCTGTCACGATTAAACCCCATTGTCGCAGACTTAATCTCCGATAGTGACAACCTAGTCGGACTTTACTCGTCCGAGACCCACAACTTGCCTTGCTCCATAGTTCTTCCAACAACTCCGTTTCTTCCTGTCAAGGAAAAACACCACACCACAATCATCGCCCGCCAAAACCGACACCACAAACGCCGTCAAACCCTCCCAAACCCCAAGAGCCATCTCCTTAATCTTTTCTTCTCTCTCATGCACCCTCATGTTCGAACCATGACCGAAATCCGTAGCAATCCCCTTCGTAACACAAGAAACAGTCCCCCACCTTCATCGATCACGTCCATGTGAGCGAGACGTCCCTAGGGAGGTCATGGCGCGAAAAGTCGTGAACTGCCAATGATTGAACCAAGGTAATCACTTGGGACCCCTTCCCATTGGAGGCCGTGAAACCAAACGTGCATGAAGTCTTGAAGTCTCTCGGAGAAGGTCTATTTGAGAAACAAGAATGGGAGTGGAAGCGGTCTGGTGGAGGAAAATAATAAGCGAGCATACAACTTACCATCTTGATTGCATGGGACGGTACTCCACCCATGCTATGTGATGAGTTTGCATATACTTCTTGAGGTTCATTATGCCCGCGAAGGGTGGAGAGAAGGCGTCGACGGAACGCGAAGGAGAGGCGCTTGTTGACGTCGAGGCCACGTGGTTGTCGTTGATGTCGCCGAGGGAGGGGTCGAAGGTAGTGTCGAACTCGACGGCGAAGAAGGAGGTTGAGTTGGGGGAGGGTTGGGGGAGGCCCATGGAGAGGGCGGGGAAGTGGGTGGAAGAGGCAATGAGGAAGGCGAGGCCTTCGCCTGAGGGGCAGGAGGGAGAGGAGAGGATGGAGAAGGAGAAGCGGGAGATGAAGGAGGCGGTGGAGTTGGTTTGGGGGTCAAGAAAACGGAGGGGGTAGATGAAGAAGGCTCTGCCGATGGAGGAGGAGGAGCAGGAGGGTTGGTGGGTGGTGAGAGTGATGGCTTTGTGAGAGAAAGAAGGTCCGTCACGTAGAGGGTGAGGTTGTCGGAGGGGAAGAGAGGGAATGAAAGTAACAGAGGGGAGGAGGAGGAGGAAGAAGAGAAAAGTGGTGGGAAAGAGGAACAAAGCATTGCAAAAGAGAGGTTCTTGAAATGTGTTGCTTTCTGAAGAAGTTGCCGGTTTCATGGTAGTGGTACTTGGTTTTCGAGCTTTGGTTCTTGAAAGGTAATGAGTGAGAGATAAAATAGTGTGGAGGAATCATATCACAATCTACACCTGCTCAACTATAAGGATAGTTTGGAGTGTTTGATAAGAAGGAAAATAAATAACAAGATAATATAAATATATATATATATATATAACTTATAATCAGTCAAATAGAAATTAAAAGATTCTCTAGAAGAAATATATTTAAAGTGTAAAAGCTTAGGTTCAATCAATTATATAAACATTTTTTGAAAATTAATTATTGTCATTTTGTCTTGATGTTAAGTTCTGATTATGCCTCTCAATTAGAATACTATGTCTCTTTTGTCTTAATATTTCTCAATGAATGAATTTTTCATTTATTTTATATTTATCTCAGAAGAAAAATAATATAATGCTTAAAGAGTTAAAAAAATCCATTTGCTAATTAGACGTCCATTATAAGGGTATGAGAAAGGGTGAGTGTATTAGTGAATTGGTTGAGAATTTTGCGTAGTCCACATAGTTTATTGGATGGTGTTGCCCCTCCACCCCCACACATCTCTTCCTCCACTTCCCTTTACGATTTTGCCCCTTCCTCACCTTTTCCTTACTATTTTGCCCCTCAGAAAATAAAATTTTATTTTTGAAAATTGTTGTTTTTTAATTTATTCATTTTATAACATATTTCACTGATAACCTACGTAGTTCCTTGTTGAGGAAAAATATTTTTCTACAAAGCTTGGTGAATCGTGAAAAAAGAATTATCAACAATCTCTTCTGTTTCTCGGTGCAGTACGTGGTTGCGTGCGTTTATGGTGTAGTGGTCCTTTCGTGGGTTTCCTCTCCAGGGTACGTAGTTCATAATCCTTCCAATATAATCTAAAAACCCTAAATCCTTCCCATACTTCAATAAAATAATCCGTTTTTTAATATCCAAGCCTTATAATCCTTCCATGTAGCCGCAAAAACGTAGTTAGTAAAATAAAAAACGAAACGTAAAAGGAACACTGACCTATGGACGGGATGACTTCCTTCAACAATGTCAACATCCGTTGAAGGCAAAACGGAAAAAATGTCGAAGACATCCGTTTTAAGGCAAAACCGGATGTCGACATCCGTTTGACCTCAACGGATGTTGGACATCCGTTGAAGGATGTCATCCGTTCCAGAGGCAGGGAGTGTCCTTTTACGTTTGTTTTTATTTATTTACAGTTAAGTAAGTTATATTTAAATTATATTTTAAATGATTATAGATGATAGTTTTTAAACGTAATAATTTTGTTTATTTAAATATGAATTTGTTATTATTTTTAAAATATGAATTTTGTTATAGGTGGAGAAGAAGCTTAACGGAAGAAAAAAAGAGAGAAAGGTAAAGGTAAACGGAAAAATGGAAGAGAGGAAGGGAAAGAGGGGCAGGAGGAAGTAAATAAGAAGTTTTAAAAATAAATTAAAATATTAAAATAATTAAAATAAAAAAATTTTAACTTTTGAGGGATTATAATTGTCATTTTAGAAGGATATAATTGGCATTTTAGAAAATTGGGGAGGTAGAGGAAGAGACGTGTGGGGGTGGAGGGAGTAACACCCTTTATGGATCAGCAAAATGTAATTGGCCCATTTTACTTATTTGTAGATGGGTCGGGCCATGTTTATGAAATAAAAATATATATTTTAAGAAATTTAAACATAAAAATCGTTTCACATCATTCTCTAATTTTTACTTATTTTTTCGTTGTTTGAATATCAAACAGCTAACAGATATTCACGTTGGTAGAAAAGAAAGAGATAAAAATAAACAAACGAGAAAAATGAAAAAAAAGAGTAAAATGAATAATATTTTATTAAAGAGAAAAGAAAGAAAATATTTTTATCCCATTGACAAGTGAGGATTATTTTTATCCTTTTGGGAACTTAAACTAGAGTATGATGAACCATAAAACTTCATAATATCAATCAAATTATATGAAATACATATGTTTAGAGAATGATATTATTAATTTAATGATTTAAAAATTTACACAATTGAGGAGATTTGGAGATATAATTTGGGACCCTTTGCCCATTAAAGTGAAATACTAAGACGAAAAAACATAAAAATAAAAGATTAAAAAAAATGATCTTGCGCATAAATATTAAAAACAATGAAGAAGGGTTTGATAAACCTTAAAAATCATTACAAAATATAGAAGTTTTTTTATAAGATTAAAATGGTTCAGAAAGATAATTCCTTTCGCTCCAAACAATAACTAAAAATCCTTTTAATTTTCATCACTCTCAAATTATTTATATTTCTTTAAAGAAATAAAAAATAGCATATATAAGTTTTTGAGTTTTTTTTACTCATAACAATTGAGTCTCATGTTTTTATTTTAATCATGTTAGGAATTCTTTTTTCTTTAAATTGTGTAACTTTACCTCTATTAAATTAACTATCATCTTTCATAAATTTTTATAGATTAATTTATCTATTGTTTTTCTTATGGGCTTTCCTAAACTTTATACTGAATGTTGGACTCCATTTTATATTGAGTATGAACTTTAGTATGTGAATAATGTTCACATCACGTTTTGTTCTTATTTATTTACTATAATTATTATATTCTTTTGTACGAACAGAAATTCAAAATAAATAAAAAGTTACTAAAACTATAGAGGTTTTTAAATTTAATATAACTATTCGTTACTTATTACGACATTTATGTGTTTTTCTTAGTTAATTGAAAATGAAATGAAAAGTGGCACACGTTTTTCATCTTCTCTTTATTTTTTTTATAAATCTTTATCGGCCACACGGTTGGTAATACTAAACAACGTATTCACAACAAGCTTTTTTCTAAATAACAAAACGATAACTGATTTTCAATAATAAAATATTAAATAGAGATGTTTAATTAAAATATAAATTAAATTATTCAATAATAGTGTAGTTGTTTAAAATATTTAGAATTGTCAATGTATCACAGCCGTGATTGGGAGGATAATTCCTTTTACCACACCTTTGTTTTTTCTTTTTTCGTTTGTTGTCAAAAATTAAACGTGGGATTAAACATGATAAAATAGTCTCAATACGCAAATGAAAATACTAATTAGTTTTACAGCAACCAGGCAGACAAATTTTACTTTATGTAAAACCCATTTGATATGTGGTTCGGATTAGTTCTAATAATAAAGTTGAATTTAAAAGCGAAAAGATTAAATAATTATTTATACTTTTTAAAAAAATTCACCATGATTTCATACTAAAATGGATACTGGTAGTTTCCCAAAGATGAAACACACTATAAGCGTATTCGGTCCAAGACTATTGATTGAAATCACTTTAAGAAAGTGCAGGGACAAATATAGATATAATTGTGTGTTTGAGTGGCGTGACAGATTGTACTATTTCTTTCTCTTTTTTCGACTATTTTCATGGTTGATCCAAACATAGTAAAGGTAGGTCACGTAAATGTTCCATCTGAGTGGAAGCACGTTTACCACTTCTTCCTACCCCACGTGCCCCACCATCAGACCCAATTTACACATAAGTTAAATTTAGGGTTCATGTAATAACAAATCCTATTAGATTTAGAATCTACTAAACAAGGAACATCGTGTTATTATTATTGTTGACTACGGCAACAGTGACCTATATGAGTAAGACAACAATAGGCAAAGCCTGCCAACTATTTGTTGTTTTAAAGTAATAGGAACAAAGAAATAGGATTCATGTTAGGAATGTTGCAAGCAAACTAGTTCGGTCCCTCAACACAAAGTTAAGTTCTCTCTCTCTCTCTCTTTCTTTCTCCATGTCTTTGTTCCAACCGGGTGATGGAAGGGAGGTTTGGAAGCCGAAATGCATCACCAAGGCCCATAAGCTTTTTTCTCAACTTGGATCCCACTTTTACGTTCAATGAATACATTCTCACCAATAAGTGTAGAATTTCATTTTCGTACCCTGCAAAAGGGTAAACTTTTGCATGATCAATATGTATTATTGTAATTAATCGTAGGTTGTAAACATTAAAAATATATATATTTTGTGGGGAGGTGAGAAAAGAGAGAATGAGTTATACATAATGATACTAAAGAGAAAAGGCAAGAGGAGAAATAGTATAAAGTGATTCACGTGATATTCTTGTTTTGGATTTACAGTGAAAATATAGATTTGGAGATTTTAGGGTTGTAAGTGTAGTAGGCATTGAGAATGTTGGTGAAAATTGGTTAAGAAAAAGAAAAAAGAAAATGGGAGGAAGGGTAGTTGGATAGTGTGATTGTGTTAAATGAAGTGGGGACATTGGGAATATAATTTTAGGTTGTTGTCCCGAAAGAAAAGCCTTTGGATTTTGGAACCATCTTCATCTTCATTCTCTCGTTTCTCTTTTTCATCATTCCAAGCTTTGCTTCTCTTGCATCGAGATTTTACTCACTTTTACACCCACCACAAATCATACCAAATCAACAAAGTCGGCTTTCAACCTGATCATCTTCCTATTATTGTAATTCTCTAATTATTGTTTCCATTAACCACCAACTCCCCCACCCCACTCTATCAACCTTCTGCATTTTCAATTATTCAATTTACCTCGTTATCCTATTAATTAAATTTTTTTATTTAAAATATTTAATGATTAATTAATATTCTAAAAATGTAACATTTGTTTTCAAATTCCTACTTTTATAAAAAGCCAAAAGTATAATCTAATTGATCCAACTTAATTCAATCTAAGATTTCCTTTTATTAGATTGAGCGATGGGTTTGTCCAAACTCAACCTTTGCGTACCTTACCAAATAGGTTGTAGGTGTTGTCAACTTACATTTACGTAATTTTTTACGATTAAAATTACAAAAATAACAATGATAGTGAAGGTAATACAAAGATATTAATGATGACAAACACAATAGCAACAATTGTATAGCATCAATAATGACAATAATAATGAGTGGTGACCCAGTAACAAAAGAAAAAATTATAAGAAAAACTATGATAATGAGAATAAGTGTGATGAGAATG